CTCCCAGCACCCATCTTTCCCTCTTCCCGCCTCAACCACATCCCCTCCTTCAATACGCGCCCATCTCGCAACATGCCCACAAGCCTCTGCAGGTCCCGCACGCACGCTCTCTGTATCACGCCTGCCCACCTAACCGAGGCTCAAACCCACCCCCCAAAAATAGTTTCTCCCTCTCTCTCTCTCTCTCTCTCTCCCAACCCCCCACATCATCATCATCCTTCCCATCCACACACTTACATACATACCTTGTCTGGAAACACGCAAAATCAAAACAAGCGCGACAAGCGCTTGTAGGGCTGACTGACCTTGATTTCTAATAGATGACTCCCCCCCTTGTGCTGACATGACGCTGCATCTCCGCCCAAACCGGTAACTCTTACTTTTGTTTTTCCCTTTTACAACATAGACCACGCCTTTCTCATTGGCCCGGGGGGTCAGAGAGAGTGCATGTGTTGTGTTTATTTTCGGATCTCCCGAAATGTGCTTGTCAGATTGGGGCCTTGCGCTTAGCCTGAAGAAGGGGTATTTGGGGTCATTTTCTTGTGATGCGAGGGGGGGGGCTATTTTGGGTGCTTTTTTTCTTCTTTCTCTTTCTTGTCAGCGTGGGAAGACAACGTGGGGGGAAGTGCGGATATGCGGATCTGTAGGCAATAAGTCAGTAGGAGGTGGGATGGGGGATGCCTAGAACTTTCTTTGCTTGGATAATGTCCCGATACCCGGGAAATCGAATGATGCTGGAATCACCGTTTGACTCTCTCTCAGTGATGCATCTCGACTCATTCGCACTACGTTTCTGGCACCTGAGGGAATAAAGGTATGCGAGATACGGACGTTCGTGGAAACCATTCATAGCCTCACGGAGTGTTGCTACTGTTACATAGCTTCGATAGTAGCGTCCTCTAGCCAAACACATGTTCGTATCGGACCCGAGATACCGCATGCCGCGATTCCGCAATTCCGCCTCCCGCGCTCCCGGCGCGATGGGATGGGGCGCTCCGCCTGGTGCTTGCGCCACGAGGCGACAGGTAATTGAGGATGGGGGGCGTGTACGGGGGTAGGCGAGGGATGGGGATTTATTTGGGACTTTGGTGTAACGTGGGGGAGCGATACAAGTCACTTTGGGCTTGAAGTACAGTTAATGCGAATAGCGTGAAGTGCACAGCCAAATGAATGCATGTAGATAGTCTCGGAACTCGCTGTTTGGCTATTTAGTTTGGCGGTACTCTACCTGGCTGATGGGGTCTGAATCGCCTTGCATGACTGATCTACGTAGTTGGGTCCCGCGGACGGGTAGGGCTGAGTGGGCAGTGGGCAGTGGGCAAATGCGAGGTTGCATGATGCAGTTTCAACAATGTGGCTTAGATTTGCGTAATAATATGCGGATCACAGGGTCTTTTTTTCTCCTAGGGGTGGTGGTACTAGATGGTGACTGGAAAGATACTCGTAACTCATGACTATGCGCTGTAGGAGCTAATGAAGTACTATATGCAAATGAGTAACCTATTCAGTAATCCAGTGAAGAGCAATATAACCCACCGTCAATACCGACTCATCCTCGCCATTGTCGTTGGGCAGGTAAACATATAAGATCAAAGCGTGCTCGTGGCAGAAGCCTGCGCAAAGTCAGCGTAATAATGGGTAATAAGTGCCGTGTATGGGGCCACCTACATGCAATGACCCGCCCGCCCAGTCTACCGACGCTCATGACTTTGCCCCAGTCACGGCCATCAATACGTGCCACAGCCCAGCCTTCATCGCTTCGTCCATCGGCGCTCCCGAGCTGCTTCATGCGCGTACTAGGGTGTTCTGCAATGCCGTTCTCACCCCCTGCCACGTGACCTGGATCTAGTTCGGGATTGTTGAGATCAGTCCAAATGGATGAGATGTTCATGGCGTCTGATCTGATGCTCATCTTCAGACAGCCGTGCATGTTTGCTGCGATTTCCAAGCGCGTTCTAGCCGAAGTAGTGGTGCTACCTGTCTTTGTGTCTGCGAGCGCCAGCTTGGTAAATCTGTCGCTAATACTCTTGAGCTGCATTAGAGGCGGCAGTATAATGTGCACGTCTGGCTCCCTGCAGGCTGGTTCGTGCAAATGAGCAACTGTGTCTGGCGCGAGCACTCGTACGGGTATTTCTTGTGTGACGATTGTTTCACGGTTTCCCCCACCAAAGTCGCTGTCAAAGGCGGTACCAAAACCATCATTGTTACTTGTGGGGAAGGCGCTGTATGTATTGGAGGATGTGGTGGTGACAATGGTGAGAGCTAGCATAGGCAGATTATCCTTCTTGGTGAGGCGTATTTGGGCTGATGTCGCATTAACTGCTGACTTCAGAGCGCGATTCAGTGATGCCAGCGGTACTTCGAGATTGATGACATTGTTTGCTGCTGATTGTACGCTGATGGTTTCAAAGATGGCGTCCTACGCCACATGTTAAGGCTCTGCTTTTGTCGACTCGTCTTCTCTACGCTTACAATAGAAAGAACACTGTATTCGATTAGAATGAGAGGCGAAATTACGATAAGCCAATAAACTCACGCCCATACTTGGGTGCCCTGTTCTGGTATAATTGTGAAGCATACTTGCTCCTCGCTCAGTTTTACCCACGCAAGCGGACCGAGCGAATTAAGCGATGCTGTGAGCTCTGTGTAATTGTCAGCGATTTTGTCGTACCTAGGAATTGTAGGGAATATACTTGTAAAGGTTGTTATGTTCTGTATTGATGCCTTGAAGCGCATCCTGTTCGCCTGTCGCACGCGCTATGGGCGAGGTGTCGCGACGCGTCAGGAAGTGTGGAGTGGGAGGGGCACGTCATCGATATCCCGCAGCAGCTTTAGATCATATATTCTCTGCTCGCCACAACTCTTGTATTTAATAATGATAACAACCCTCAATTTTTTCCGATTGTCATTATCAGTCCCAAATAATGCGCTATAAATGATGATTATTCATGAACATGCTACAATTCAGCACATATCCAGACATCTATCCAGGATGAGACATGACCCTAGAGCTCTTACTTCCACATATACACTTGGCTGATGGAAATCATCTACTAAATGATCAGACAAGTCCCTCTGTAGTACCTGATGACAAATCTCTACGTTCATCTACTTCCCCACGGTTTGTCTCTGCACCGAAATACCTGCGTCGGAGATTGTCGTTCGAGAATACATCTAGTCAAGAATTAGCTAGGGTACGTAGACGACTTCGCATAGATGCTGACCTGTCCACTAGTTCCCTGAATCTCATATCGGCCAGCTCCTGAGACTGGTACATCTACTCCACCCTTGGTCGTCGCCTTCACAGCTGTGAAAGACACCGTACCGAAGTCTGGCGTTGCTACAAGTTCACCAGGAATCACTTGGTAGGCTTGAACAAACCAATCAGCTGCTAAGGCAGTCAACGAGGTTGGCTCAGTGCCTGCTGGTGCTGCGACAGACTGTGTCGTCCGCTTGTTTTGTTTATTGTTCTCGATCGTCACCGTACCACCTGTCAGTGTGATATTGACCGTGATAGTGATCGAATCGCCATTTGCGACTGGGACAGTCGAAGTCGTATCTGTTGCGGGGCCTGGGAAGTACGAAGCAAAACTCTTCAGAGTGCTGTTGTAGACGATGCCACCACTTAGAATGCTATTCTGCTCCAGCCTATCACCAATGCCAACCCATATCGATAATCGGTTCGAGCCGGACAATTTTGGGACGGTGAAGGTACCAGCAACTGTTTGGAACGAATCGCCGTCAGGAGCCTTGAGTACCGCTCCTCCTCTATTGTAATCAAAGGCAGCGGATGCGAATGAAAACCAGCATGCAGCGCTGAGAAGGGTGGTGATTTTCATGGCGGTTGTATAGGGGCAAGTGGTGTAACAAAATGCTTTCTACGAGCTGACAGCTAAATGGGTGATGAAGCCGTGGGTACCGCAAAATTTTGTCCTTCTAGAAGGATATCTGTTATTCCGCTAATTTGAGTGTACAAACATCGGCTATGATACCATCAGATGATATGACAATGTATCTGGATATTTTATTCATGGTCTCTCGTATCTCTATTCAGCAACTCGATATTCAACCGGCCATAGCCCCACGGCGGTATCATCAGTGTGCGTTACAAGCCCTTGGGACTTCCGAGAGACCCGACTTGGGACCATGAATTCCTCCAATCATGAAATGTGTTTGCTTTCCTGATTTTATTGGGATATGACGATAACTAAATGTAATTCCCAACAATGGTGATAGACAGCACCCAAGAGAAGACCCCACAACTTAGCGCATGGGTAAAATGGGATAGATTGAGGCTTGTGCAACCTTGTCTGAACATCCACCAATATTAATATGATGCGGTATAGACATGGCCAGTGATGGTCTTCTCCTCTGATGATTGATTACCATATAGGTGGGGCGTCCTCCACCCTTCCAATGTTGAGTACAACTGCCGAAGCAAAGTCAGGACATGTGCTGCTGGACGAATGCTGATCATTAAAAACGGCTGAATATGATGAAACACTTGATGAAAGGGAAACTGTTCAGGATGAATCAATGCTAGCTCCGCCATTCCCGGTTGGCAGCCGGAAGTACATTGTACCAAACAGGAGTGTTGGTGAGGTCCAAGACATAATCACCTACCAAAAGCTGATCAGGAGACCTCAACGCCGAGCACAGTAGATTGGTATACTACATACACTGCACTTGGCTCAAAAAGATAGCGGGAAGTAACACTGCTATTCGGGGCCATCGGAGCAATGCATCCTACAATGATGATCGCCTTCTTCACGTGGGAAGCCAAGGGCTATTTTCATCTTGCGACTAAATAGTGTGCAGTGCTGCCCACGTCAGTTCCAAAGATCATCTTTGAACGCAACCTATAGACTTCAAATTGCCGTGTTTGATATTTGTAGCCTTGCAAATCTCAGTCAGACAGCACAAGCTTTCTTTCAGCGACAAAGACCTGCTCTTCGTCCATTTCTAATATTCAGGTTGAAATCATCTCACCTTCTGACAACATGAGGTTTTTTGACGCTACAATTTTTGCACTTGCTGCTCCTGCAATAGCGCTGCTACGCTTTCCCTGCGCCCAACTAGTCATCGATAGATTAGACCCGCTAGTCACGCCCGGTCAAGCTCCCTCTCCGCATCTTCACCAAATCCTCGGAGGAGTACATGAATCCACCATATGTGATTCAGGAAGGCTAAGCATGCACAGAACTCCTTCAACGTAACCATGGATCCGGGGAAAGACATGCCAGGCGAGTCAACTTGCACATCTTGCCAATTCAGTGAGGACTTCTCCGTAAGTGAAACTTGCACAATGCTCACCCAAAATCTTCCACTAAACTCCCTGCAGAACTACTGGACAGCCGTTCTGTAAGTTCTACAACCCCACCTCTAGAAAGCTCCTAACATCAAGTACCATAGCTACTTCAAAGCCAGAAATGGCACATACAAACGCGTGCCCCAAATTCCAAACTCAGGCTTCAATGGCGTCAACGGAGGAATGACGGTATATTACATGCAAGACGGACTATATAACTTCCAGCAAACATCAAAGGTCCAAGCCTTTCAGCCGGTATGTCAAATTCTCTAGGCCCGCACCTTTATCGGGCACAACTTAACCGACTAACTACGCCAGGGCTTCCGGATGTTCATCGGAGACGTAAACGCACGCTCGAAGCAAGAAGCAGAGCGCTTCAGACAATTGACATTCACGTGTCTCGACCACATCGACACCCGCGATCCGCAAACCCTCGATTTCCCAGACAAACCATGTAAAACCGGCATCATGACAGCCGTTCGCTTTCCTACGTAAGGAAGTCCCTGCTCCCCTCATATGCTTCCAAAGCCACATTCTTTGCTAATGACGATATTAGCTGCTGGGATGGCAAAAATCTCGATTCTCCAGACCACATGGCACACATGGCATATCCTGAACACGGGACCTTTGAGTCGGGTGGACCCTGTCCAGCCAGCCATCCTGTCCGAATGAGCCAGCTCTTCTACGAAGTCGTATGGGATACGAGTGCGTTCAACGACTTGGCTGAATGGCCCGAGGACGGTAGTCAGCCGTTTGTCTGGAGTTTCGGCGATAGGTACGTTTCTTTTTCCTGTTTCAAATCGAGTATCTACACTAGTTTACAGCACAGTTTATTAATAATACATGTGGGGGGGGACAGGACTGGCTTTGCGAACCACGGCGACTATATCTTTGGTTGGAAAGACGACGCGCTACAGCGAGCCCTTGACTCGCCCTGCTATGTCAATTGCCCCACGCTCAAGACGCAAGATGCAGCTGCCATGAATAAATGCACCGTACCGCGCGTAATTAACGAAGACATTGATGGTTGGGTTACCGAGCTACCTGGTGGCTACCAGGCGCAGTACATCAAGAAACGCTGGACCTAATCGCATCAACTTCTTCACTGAGTTTTCAATCACGGATGCACGGGAGTGTGAAATTGTATCTTAGAGAATGACAAAACGAAATCCTGATCTATGTTCGTTCTGATAATAAATATTTGGCGCTAATGATATACTAAGGGAGGTTGGTAGGAATGGTAATAAGAGATATTCGCGTGAATGAGTAGAGCTCTAATATGTTGGCGCTTTGACACAAAGTAAGGAAAAATGTTCCGATAGTGTCGATTCTGATGATGACAAAGGAAAACAAGGGAATGCAGTTATCGTATGTAAATCACCCACGTTTAGGTGTTGGGTCGCTGTCGCTAATCGCATGGAGTGTTTTGCGGTCTGGGCTGGGCCTTTGAAAAAAAATCCAGCACAAGTCTCAAATCTGTCTTCCTTCTCAACTTTTTAACCCCTGATACTGTATGGGTGCCTCACGTCGTCTTCCAGGAAGATAGTTGGAAACCCTCCGCTCCTTCTCTCTTCATCAGAAACAACACGAATCTCTTGGTTCTGATCGCCTTCACTGCTCCCGCTCCCTGAATCTCTCCCGGAATGCATATGAAATTCTTCCAGCTCCTTTGAACCTGCTGACATTCTGTTATTGCTCTCTTGTAGGTTGTTGAACTCAGTCGACGATGCATGCGAGTAGTATGTGAACCCACTTAGTTGCGACCAATCACTTATTCGGCGCGTGTCAACCGTATATGTTGTCGATCCAGAAAAGCGGGAAGGTGGAAATGGTTTTTTCAGTTTGCGCGTCGATCGGGTGGAGGGGGTTTCGATGTCGAAATCTAGGTTTGATTCGTCGTCGTGGAAGCGCGTAAGGCTGGGGTGTGTGTAACTTGCGGGGAAGTATGCAGTGTTGGGGCGATACATGATTGTTCGGCCAGAGTATTGACTGTTGCGCTGCTTTGATTCGGAGGAGGCGCTGGGCTCGGCATTGAAGATGGAGTCAACGTCGCCATGGGATACGTGAACAGCGCTTCCCGCTACCGGACCGGAGATTTTTGGGGGAGAGCGCCGAGTTGGAGACTCTGTTGTTGGTGTTTTGATAGCTCCACCAAGAGGTATCAAGGTACCAAGATTCACGGCTATCATAGCTGTCGTGAGTTCGACAGTGCCCCAGGTCATGAAGGACAAATCGTATCTGCCTCTATCCCCTACCTCAGCCCAGTAAATAATGACCATTCGGCTTCGTATTATAGCAATGGCGCATGCGCTGTAGAGATATTAGCCGCACTGAACATACAGCGAGAGGACGTGGACGTACAAAAGCGCCAACACAGTTGCTAGTGCGAGGTATAATTTGATGCCAATTTTGAAAGATGAGCCGAGAATGGTAGGGACCGCAAGTATAACCAACAAGAGACTGGAAGTTGTATTGGTTACTGGTATGAAGGGTCAATATAGCTTCGCAAGGGTAAAGAGCGCATCACTCACTATAATTTGCCATAGCCCAATGCTGAGATTCGATTGGCGTCATGCACTTTGCGTTCCCGCCATATGAGAAGTCCCAAGCTGCGACAAGAGGCATGCAATGAATGAGAATTGAGATGAACCATTCAAGTGTATGCCAGAATATCAAGACTATTCACGTTAGCTTAGCGCCTCTCCGTCTCGTTTCTTACTGCGTAAACTTACACATAATCCCAACGATTAGAACTCCACGGCAAATGTATACATAGGCGTGGAATCTGGAATTGGATACGGGCAAGAGCGTGAAGGCGGCTGACAGCTTTACCAGCCCAAGCCCAAAGATATAGACTGATTTTAGTGCCCAGATCCATGGACCCAACCGTCCGCTCTCAACTGGGGATTCAGTGTCTCGATCCTCTCGTCCGAGACCTAGCTCTACTAATCCAGTAAATGTAACGAAAACGCCTACTGCGCACAGCTGCCGGGAATGTTAGTTGTGTAGCGCTTGTGTTGTTAGTCTTAACATACTGCAGCCAGAAACATGAGTCCATCATCAAAGCCAAATGAGTGAAGTAGCCTTGCACGTGTAAATACCCTTAAAGAATATATGACGAGCGCGATCAAGACAAGTGTGACAACGATAGCAAGGTGAAGAGGTCCCTGGTCATGGGCGAGTGAAGCATGAGGCAGTACTGAAGAAGAGACTGCGCTTGCATCCCCACCCATGGTGTGATGAGAATGTAGTGGTGTACTGACGTTTGCTAGAGGTTATGCGGCTTGACCAAAGAGGCTTCAGAAGAGGAGAAATATCGAAACGAATGTTTGAAGAGAAGAAAGGAGTGTGTGGATGTGGAGTTGGAGTGGAGGGATCAGGGTATCTAGAGGAGGGTATCTCATAAGACGGATACAACATGGCGTTTAAACCCCCCAGTAATACTGAGTAGTTACGCATGGTTCACAGCTCCTCATCGGCGTCCCTAGAATGAACCAGGGGCAGCATATGCACGGTGCGGGCCATACAAGTGCTCGGCGTCTGCATGTAAGGTAAGCGAGTGGGGGAGCTGGATGCTAGCCTTGGGCGTATAGGACTTGTCCCTGGTCTACGGGGTCGTTAGCGTCCCAAGGAGCCACATCAACATGGCACTGGTGGTGCTGGATGCTGGTGTGAGATTGGCTACGGAGCATCCCCATACTTTTAACAGTTGCGTGCTTTTCTACAGGGCTCGCCTTGACCCCGGCACCATGAAAGTAGCTTTTTCCGAACCAAGACAAGCGATGTGCTTTTTTTGACACACCACTGCAGGTCCACCTCTCCAAGTCCGTCCCTGTGATAGCATAGATTCTGATCAGGATAATAGCCACATCAATGCGTCATAAACACAGCGGAAGCTGTCGTCTCGTGGACAAGCATGCTTATGCATTTGCCACACCACACTTTTCCGCCGATACGATTGGTGGCTTGGGGGCTTGAGCCAGGAGATATCGTAGGATGCGCCCAAAAGAACAGTCGAAAAAAGAACAGATAGGTTTGTGCATCTCGAGCGTACGCGGAGGGAGGCTCATTTCCCCCCTGGAAGGGTGGTCGAGCAACGCTTTGCTTTTCCTCATGATCGGCAGGTTAACGAACAGGTATCCTTCCGAATTCCCAACATCATTATGATATGCAGGACGTAAGAGACCCGGGTAAAGTTTCTGGTTCCTTTCAAGCACCCATGATACGTTTGTTGCAGTTCGGCCGTTGTCGTCTGGTATGTGTCGGCAGTCGGACAAGGTGGGAATTGACGCTCGCAAAATAGCGCGTTGCGATGAAACACGCTTCTGGAAAAAGTAATGTGCAAACTTGTCTATACCCGTCACGTATCTCGATCCACATGAACTAGTTTTGCCATCTGCCGCGGGAAAGTCGATATATGGGCATCGTGGCTTACGCTTTTCCTTTGACAGATTGAGAATACGGTGGTGGAGAAGCCCTCAAAGACACCTCTTGGCACGCTACGTACGTACGTCGGCTCAACAACGCGTGCTCTCGAGCCATCTCACTTCAACAACGATGTAGCCTATGGGACTAAATACTTGTGAGCGTAGGATGATCCCGAAATCCTGTGTTATTTCCATAGCTGCCGCGGCCAAGTTGTCTTGATAGAGCCGGATATCAGAATCCCGCTACAAGATCCTTCACTCGGCCCCTTGAGTAACAGAAGGCGGCTGACATGGCTGTCTGTGGAAATGACCACCTTTGTGGGACTGTGGAGAAACGATATTGTCACACAAGCCATGCGGACAATTTGAAGTATTGAGAACACGAGCCGGGTGGCGTGGTGGAACAGCTCTCGAATGTCTCACAAAGACGGGAACTGTCGAGTCAGTCGGGGTATTTTCGAGCGAGCGCCATGTTTTCTTTTCAGTCGCGGTACCTTTGAACTTGCCGGAATATAGGTACATACCGCAAGACATGGCGCCGGCTACTGTCATCCCTCTTGGGTTCTGATCTTCCTTTAGTGGTACCACCGGGCCAAGATATGTCGCTTGGGTTTTAGTGTCGCGTATGCAGAATATGGTAGCGACAACGAATGGTACGGGTCGCTGCACTGCAAATCGCGCTCCATACGTAAGCTGCAGGCGTCTTCATCCGAATTGCCAGGTTTGTTCCTCATGCACCTGCCGTATAACAACCACACGGCAATGGTTTGGGCTAAGAACCACGGTGGTGATGATGCATGAAATGTATGATCCACAAATTCAAGAGGCCTGGTATTGTCTGGTGCCGACAATCGCAAATTCATATCAATGCCAAAGTCTTAAAGACAATATGGATGGCCGTGTCGGCCGAAATGGCACTAGTTGTTATATCAATGACCCTCTCAAGGCTATAAAGTCGTTCGTGTTTCGTACATACGTCATCACCTAGAGCGGGTGCCGTGGTGGGTAGAGAGTTCAGGAAGTACATATTGTCGTTCATTACTTAAAAATCTTGAAACCATCAAATTGATTTTGAACCAAAGTATTGCCGCTACCCATTGGGTAAAGACAGTTCCCCGGGGTAATCATGGAACAGTACCATCAGTGGGAATAAGGTTGATCCTTACGTACGGCGCCGAGCAAGCGTACCTGACACTACCTGCGATAGGCTTAACATAATTGGAAAGTACCCTTCTGTTGAACCAGTACCAAGCTCTTTTTCTCACTCTGCGTATCATTCAATAGCAATGACAAAAGCGCAGCTGCATTTACTGCATTTGGGTAGACTTGAGCTCTGTATTGTATGATGAGAAGTTCCATTCAAATGTCAACTCTTGTCTCTGCGGCCTTCACCTAAAAATACTGGGGCTCAAATTGAGTGACAATGGAATCAATAGTCGCGCGCTATTTTATTCAATGCAGCACATGAATAATTACGCAGACTGGCTGCACAGCCACTATTGTGACTATTCTTGAATGTAATCGACATGAGACATACCTCGAAGCTACGTATGAATGTACTTGAGTGAAAGAATGGCTCGTGTAGTGTCTTTAGGAAGAAGAAAAAATCATCTCTTTATCCCAGAACACTTTGAAACAACTAGACAACCATCATAGATAGT